GAACGTGTGCTACCGCGACAAAATTCTACGAGCTCGAGCTGGACAAAGGAAATGAATGGAGCACATGCAATGGCGAGAAAACAGAGCTTGAATTCTTGTCCAGCTCAGGACTCCGATTCCGGTCTTGTCCGTTCTACATTCTACCCTCATTCAACCGGAATAGTGGATCGTATGGGCGAGTCCCTTGTCAGTACACACTCTCTTGCTTATACAAGCCCAATGCTTACAAACCAGGTTTGTGAACCTATCCTGTGCTGTTCATGATAAATAGTCATGTGACTGTTTGCTTGTAATCTTCCAACATTCATGAATTTGATAAATAAACCTACTGCAGAAACAGCACTAAAGAAACGAATCTGCTGCAGAACACACAATGGGGAATTTGGACCACACTTGATGTGTGAATTGTGAATGTTCGCCCCGATAACGTTTTAAGATATGGTGGGTACACCATTATTTTTTCAAAACTGCTCGAACACAACAGGTCAGGTAGGAACAGTGGCACATTTTTGAGTAGAGGTGTGACTACTGAACAAGCCCCAAGAATGTGCACAGACAAGATTGGGCGTGCAACAGGGGCGACAGCCCCAAATAATGAAGAAGAAATTTTGAATAAACTGAAAATGGCCGTTCAAAGTCGTTTTGGTTTTGCGTTCAGAACCCTTTTTAGTAACATAGAAATGCAAGCAACAGGGGGATAGGTATTGAAATCTTTCTTGCGCACTATGGGCAATCCGGCAAGCTTTATTTATTGAGAAATCACCACGGTGAACAGAAACCAATTAGGAGTATCAGCATTGGACTCACAAAGCTGGGCAGGACATCTATTTAGTATTCCGGGTGACCTTCCAATAGGACCAAAGTTTGGTTAGCGTTTGGGATCTTTAGAACTATGAGAACCTCAGTAAGGTTGATGAGGTACTCAACATTCGGAATTAGGCAAAAAAGGCAGCATAGTTGGTTCGAAGGAAATAGCAAACTGATTATTCACATCTTCGATATTTGACTGCGTTTGTTTCGTGTGCTGAGACGAAACGCATCTCCCGACATTCATTTCCATTAATAATGGTCCCAGTATATGACTATCTAAATCAACTAACCTCGTTCTTTGTAAGCAGGGATTATTGTTTTGTTGAATAATGTCTTCCACCCAGATAGATCGGTTTTTGCCTTCGCTGGAGACATTTCACACTTGGTGAGGGAAATCGTTTGACATAGACATAATCGGTCTCAACAAGGACATCAAAGACCGTAACAGACTTTCAGATAGTTCGTCAGATAAGCGTCCCATGAAACTCTGTTCAGTTTTTTATTGGTTGCTAACTTGAATTTGGTGAATCTTGACTTGCATTGTTCATGTTCCGTATGAAACCTTTCAGACAGGAATTTAGGACTCAACCACTGCCTATGACGCTGTTTCATCGACTGCTTTACAAATCAATAGGTTTGAATAGGCGCTATTTCTTTTGTCCCAAAGACAAATAAAATTCTAACGTATATACGCATGTATATATTGTTTGAGTTCAAACTCCGTCCTAAACAACTTGCTGCACAAGCTTTCGTGTAGGCAAGATCTCAATCTCTGATTTCTATGTGGTTGAATGGCTAAAGCCTTCAGTAAGCCCACCCTCCACCCTCAAGGCGGGGCAGGGGCGGTGTGTAAAACGCGTAGTCTAATGGAGAACGATGTCCAATTCTTCGTATACTATGCCCTTGGACGGGAGTGGTGTCTAATACAACTCTCTACTCAAGCCGATGTTGGTGTGTTTTGCACGATTCATGTTTGTTGGTTTTGAAATCCGCCTGCAGTTTGTTTGTTTCGCTAGTCAGTGTTTAATCCCTCCTAACGGAGATCGTCCTCACTGCCTCTGCAGGACGTGGGATAAGACATGTTCCGCGTGTACTGTTTTGCATTCGGTTTATTCTGTGAACTGCAAGCACACCGTGTATCGAAATCGGAAAAGATAATTTTTTTCAAAAGCATTCATTTTCGCCTCCATCTGTCTGCAGTTATCAGGTTTTCAGTTTTTTCTTTTGAAATTGCATTACAGTATATCTGTGTCTAATTTTTATACATATGTACCAATATACCCTAGCGAAAATATCACTCAGTTTTAAGCAATTTCACCACGAGATCTACAGAATGCATCCCATCATATCCCACAGCCACA